TGTTTTGATTGTATTCTCTTTTCAATCCCACATTCATTACTTCTTCTCCATCGAATGAGCCCCACAAAAACCATCCACAATCCCATTGGGTCAATAGAGAGGTTTTTTGATCTTCTCTTGATCTCTCTCATTGTTTTCATGACTCTAAAAGGCGGCACGAGTGGAGCGTGTGCCGCGTGCAAGTATCAACGCAGACGCTGCGCCGCGGACTGCCCACTCGCGCCTTATTTCCCAGCGGAACAGCCGAAACTGTTCCAAAACGTTCACAGGCTATTCGGCGTAAGAAGCATCGTCAAGATCCTCGAGAAACTCGACGAAGCTCAGAAACCAGAAGCCATGAAATCAATCATTTTCCAGTCTTACGTCCGTGACCGTTCCCCTGTCCACGGTTGCCTCGGAGTCACGCAAAACCTCCAGTACCTCATCTGGCTCGCTGAGGAAGAACTCAAAGCCGTCAATGCACAGTTACAACTCTATCGTTCTCAACAAAACAACAATAATAATGGTCAAAACCAGATGATGATTCATGAGCTTGGTGAGAAGCAAGATGATGTTACATCGCAGCTAGATTTGGGAATGGGACTTACTGTAAACAATAATCAAAGCAATGTCACACCTTTCTTTAGTCCATTACCGGTTTCCGAAACTCAGCAGCAGCAGCCTCAAATGTCGTCTTATACTTATAGTTGCAGTGAGGTTAACAACAGTGGCTGCTTTAGTCCTCCTGCTTATACAGATCATTCTTGCAAGGAGATTCTCACCGACAACAACAATACTTCTTTGGTCTGGGGTCAGAATCGATTCGCTTATAATAACAATGGATTCAGCAATCAAAACGAGAGCTGTGATGAGATCAAGAGCAGTAATGGAGTGATGGCTATACAATCGCAGCTCGTTAATCTTCAGATGGTATCGAATCAGCAAGAGGGACACGATGCTCACGAGTACGATGAAATCCATCAGTTCCTCGAGATCATCGATGAGAGGCAATCATTTGCGGATTCTAAAGAAGCTTACGGTTCAAGGTAGGTTATGAGTTTCTTGTGCTCCACGTTTCTCCATATTATTTTTTTAGGGTTTTGGAATTCTGATATGATTTGAAAATGTTGCAGCTCCGGTGAATCGTTGAAGGAACAGATGGATCAAATCGGGGAGAATGAATTGAGGAATGCGGCAAATTGTTTCAGTCTGACCAGTGTCAATTGATCCTGAATCGAAGAGTACGACTCTTTCTGTTTTTCCTTTCAATTTTGATTTTTTTTTTGATAAAACAGTAACACAGAGACACATACGTTTTGGATTTCAATATTTTGTTCCTAATGTTTCTCTGATTCTTTTGATTCATCTGTTATCTCTGTTTTTATTTTGTGTCTAATAAAGCATTTACTTTTCTTTTTTTTTTCAGTAATAAAGAATTCACGGTTATTCAATTGTCTTTTTTTTTTTAATACAGTAATTCTATTGTCATTTTACTTTTATTAGATTCATATGAGTTTGTAAATATTTACCATAGAAAATTAAAAATAGAATAAATATAAAATTTCAGTGATAAATGACGATAATCTCCTGATCTCATAGTTGCTATGAGTTTAAACGTCTGAAGTTGATTGAAATAACAAGGGGAGTTTAAACAAGTGAACACCAATATAAACAAGTTGATATGAGTTTTATAGTATAGGCTATAGCTAATTAAGTATGAGGTATAATTTTTTGTAGGTTATGCATACAATACAAATTTATCAAAATTTCATCAGCTGATATCATGTGTTACTAGTAAAATATACGTATCATAAATGTGATTCTAAGTAAATAATAAAGCATGTACTTAGAAACTCTTTTACGGTTAATTAATTGTCTTTTTGGACGGCAACGGTAATTCGACTGCATTTGATTTTAATTAAATTCATATGGGTTTGTTAAATAGTATTTGCTAGATCAAAATTAAATATATAAAATTTCAATGATGCGGTTATGAAGTTGCTAGATAAGTCTCTTGATCTCATAGCTGATATTACGAGGTACAATACAAATTTATTGAAATTCCAATGCGTTATAATTATAAATACAAGCATCCGCTAATATCATGTGTTACAAATAAATGTGATGCATATATTACGATGTCCAAAAAAAAAAAAA